AACAGTATGAGAGAATCGTTCCTTATAAACCATATTAACTGATTTAAAGTCTAGAGGAATTTTTTCTCTTAAGCTGCATGAAGTGTGTATGGTTTGTAAGGCAGTTTATGAGCACCATGCAGTCATTTGTATTTACCCCACGCCTGAACAGCTGGTTGAGTAGAGTTGATCAGTTGAGGTTTCCAAAGCATCTGAAGAATCGAGAAAAAGTAGGGGCACTGCTTTGCCAGTTCCATCTAGTTCTATTGGTGCAGAATAGAAGAGAAGCGATGCAGAATCCAAAGTGGAACCGTTGGTTTTATACCCATACTTCTATAGATCGTCTGCCTGAGTATGCATGAAGATTCGAAGTACAAATAGTTCTCAGATTTTCAACAATACCGGGCGATAGCATTATGATTCCTTTTTGGCTAGGTCATGTCCTCAAAAAGTTTTGGTCTACCGACATTCTTGGTATGCAATATTGCAGTGGTTACGCGACGTTGAACGAAACCGCGAACTGACCAGTCCATAACGTGGCATAAAGCATGAGAAAATTGACTGAGAGACTTGGTCAGGTTGGCGCAGGCCTTCGTCGTGGATGGTCCACACTGGTGGTTAGAAACCGTATCCGGCCTGGCACGGTCGCGCAGTCAGTGACGTTCTTGTATCTGGTCTCTAGCATTTATGTTTTAATATTTATTCATTCCTATTAGTTTAGCGCCTTTCAGTCTCGATTCTATTTTATTTTTATCCCTAAGCACATGGAAATGACGGACGTTGAAGTTTCGCTACCGGGCATGTCACTCATGCGGAACGATTGACTCACAAAAGGAGGAGGGATAATCCTGTATTACCGAAGCCACTTACAGTGCAAAGCCATGGAGGATACAAACTCACAGTTCTCCGATTCGCCTTGGTGCTGCTTTCAGTAAAAAGTAGAGGCGCTTGCCTTATTTTCTTGGTGTACCACCTACTACCTCTACACCTGAAACCGACCGCTACCTCGCGGCTGTTTTAAATTGCAGTTGACGCCAAAAGTACAAGCACAAATCTATCATGGGTGATTGCAAAGTACATTGTTTAGAAACCCCACAATCGGAGAACAATTCAAAGTCGACCTACAACAACTCTTAGCCACTGTTCCTGTTTACAATCACATCACTTTGCCCACTCGGTTCAGAACAGGTAACAGGCCAACTGTGCTGGATCTTGTGCTTACCAACAAGGAGCATATGACTGATGCGTTGGGTATAAACTACCCGTTGGGTAGCAGTAATCCCGCAGTGATCAGTTTCAGCTTCGTCTGCTATGTAGAATATAGGAATGAGAGAGAGATGACTGCGCGTTCTGTCACTAGCTACGATCGATTAGCCCAGCTGGTCAGCGTTCCTTTCAGAAGAAGCCCCGGAAGTCGCCTGGTGCAATTTCATCAATAAATTCAGTCAGCTGATTTCGGCGGCTTCAGAGATAAGAGTTTGCAATAAGTGTAAATTAGTTGCTCTCGTTAGGAGCAGAACTCGAAAATGAATGCCAATACACGACGCAGCATAACGAGTGCATAGAGAAGCTACGACACCAGCGAGTTGGGACAACCACGTAGCCCAACGCAACCACTGCACTCAACTGCTAAGAGAAGACAAAGCCGCACACCAGCACAACATCGCAAAAGCCTTCAGTGCTAATCACAAATTGCTGTACAAGCACGTCAATGGCCTACGAAACGTGAGGCAAGTATTTATTCCACTCAAGACGGCCGATGGACAAACATAAATGGATGTGGAAGCAGCAAACGCGCTTCGGATACAATATGCCCCAGGTTTCAGTGGGTCTTTCCACCAGGTGAGCTTTTAGTTTATGTCCTTTCTCCGCCAGGCCTAACCCACATCACTTTTATCGAGGAGACTGTATTGCAAAAGCTGACGTCACTACGCAAACACAGCTCGCTGCGTGTTGACATCATTCGTCCAGAGGCACTGGAAGCAGCAACAATCCAACTGGCAGGACCATTAGCTGTTTTTCCAGCGCTGCTTAGACCAGAACCAAGTTCCTGCTATGCGCAAGCTGGGAGCAATAGCCTCGGTTCACAAAGGTGGGAGCAGAACTGATACCCCAACTACCGCCAAGGATCCCTTCTCCTATACTCTCCAATGTAATAGAATCCATAGTTGCCGATGCACTTGTGTGTTTTCGGAAAAACTGTAACATCATCATGCCTGGGCAGCACAGCCTCGTCGACAACGGCCATGTACAACAAATTTACTACTCGCACAGTATTCGGATTGAGTCAGCTGATGCTGGAGCAGGCGTTCATGTGATCTACCTGGGTTTTCCGAAGACTTCCGTATGTCAAGACCAGCGGATACTGCTCTCCATGTTCCAGGATTACGGGATCAGCGACCCTCTTCAAAGCTGGATTGATAACATTTTACATCGACGGCAATTAGTGATCAGAGTTCGGAGCTATTTAGTAGATGTGATAAAAGTCGAGCGTGATATCCCGCAAGGCTCATTATTAGGTCCACGTCTGTGGTGCTTATTAATGTACTTAGACAGGAAATCGCTTTAAACGCCCAATTTGTGCCTACGATTTCAAGATTTGGCGCAGGATTCAGAAGAATGCCGACCAGCATCTGCTTCAGAGCAACCTTGACACGGTATATCAATTGTCAACCTAAAGGTTACTGCATTTCAACATCAGTAAAAGCAAGGTACTTTCCATCCGACATCAGAGCGGCTACTCGTACCCGCTCGGAACGAATGTACTGCAACAATCAACTGTCGAACGTGAATTGGGTGTCCTGGTTCAAGATGACTTAGGTTGCTCCAGGCAATCCGAAATAGCCACGAAGACTGAGAGCCAACACGTCGGACGTTTGCGACGGGCGTTTGAACAAATAAACAGCTATATATTTCGACAAATGCTCAGTGAGTATGTTCGCCCCCAGGTCGAATACACAATTCAAGCCCGGCATCTAAGTTTGAAACACGACCTTAAAGCATTTGAGCAGTATCAACTTCGGACATCTGAGAACGTAATTGGAATGCTCAATATTTCCTATCAGCTAAGGCTGAAACGATTGGAGGTATTAAGCGGACAGTACCGCAGATAACGAGACGACCTGATTAGGGCATGCTTGCTTCTGCAAGACCCACACCATGTATGCAGCCCTTTACTGCAACAGAAGCAATAGAACCATGCCAACCCACTAACTGAAACTCGCGGAACAGTATAGCCGTCTGGAGTTCCCCAGAAATTGCTTTTCCATTCGTGTCTGTCACCCGTGAAATGTTGCCCCAGCATTGGTCGTCTCTGCACCGACACTTTCTGTATTTAAAAGACGATCGGAGGACGCACTCACCTAGTTACATTTTGTTTCTTAGCGCTATTTCGCCATCCTACTCTTGAAGTTTACCATGGATTTATTTGATCCTGACTGTGGGTGGTTGAATCTGCGCGGATTGCAGAACTACAGCATAGCAAGCAATGTCCTTATTTTCATATTTAAAGTGCTTACTGTTGTTCCATTATTATTGACATCATTATTATTACTACAATTATTATTATTACTTAGATATCATCACCAACCATCCAGCGGGACTTGTAAAGCAGCGCATTTTAACCCGTATAAATTCACTGTTCATTGTTCTTTGAACCGCAGCTTCTTGCCTTCTGTATTGCTTGTTATTCTTGCGATGTGAGTCATGGCTACTGGATGCACAGCATTTCGGTGCTTGGATTATAGTTTTTTAACTGAATTGAACACCTGTCTATACATTACACAGTGATCCTTGATTCATCGGGTGGCAGCTAGCTTGAAGCCACCTTATATAGTCTACCTTTATCCAGCTAGTTAGTATCATCCTGTGTCCAAATTTCGGAACTGAACATTCGCATGTTTTTTATTCATGCAGTTAATGACTGTTCAGTTTAAGTACTTACGGACGTGGTTCAAGTGCCTGGCTGGGCCAAATATGTAGCCTATTTAAAGCATTGTTCTCCAATCGGATGGATGTGAACTTTCAAAATATTGTACTCTGAAGAACCGATTTTTGATGCACTTGTCATTTACGTGTTGTGCTGAAACAGATCACTAATAAAGGGACTACCATTTACCCATTCGTATCAGGAATTTAGCGGATTTTAAAGCATTCATCCTAGTAGTTTACAAGTTACACAGAATAGTCTAATCCAGAAAAACACCAGACGCGTTTCGCCCTATTTGGGCTCGTTAATAATAGGGAATGCGCACCACTGACGAGGCCCGATAGGGCGAAAAGCGTCTGGTGCTTTTCCGGACTAGGCTATGCTATATAATTTGTAAACTACTGGGATACAAACCTTAAAATTTACCAATTCCCTTATACCTTCGATTGTGCTGTTATATGGGTAAAGACTTAGTTGACACCTACTTGACATACCCTTGCTCAAAGTCTGCAACTGCGTAACTATCAACGGGCCATGGAGTTTGGTTTGGATCAACATTTGTATTAAACTGAGTAATAAGGTTTTTTGTTTTAGCACCTACGCTGGTTTGTTGATTTCCCAGTATGCTCAATTTAGTGGCGTGTAAGTCTTGCCGCCTGGTAGTTATCTAAAGGGTCGACACGTCGTTTGTTAGGTAAGTGACACCCTGTGATTTATTTCAGTTTCTTGAACGTACAATACATAGATTCTTGTATATTGTAAATGAAATATTGTCTTCTCCATACTCTTAACTACGACACTTACTAAGACCATATAACAATGATGATGTTACCTAGCTCAAGGGGCCAGCAATTTTAAAGATTGAAGGGAATTACTACTGCTTTTGACGGTAATCATGCACTATTCGTCCTACTGCTTCACTAATTGTGCAAAACGCATAAAGAAAGCAGTTTCGTAATTGCGTCAGCTACTAAATATTACACACAGAGTCTTACTGGCGTTCTTCGTCTGAGCTTCACAACTGCTTTACTGTCCACCTGTCTTTGTCAGTGGTATTTACCTGCGTTTTCGATGTTATATTTGCTTGGGACAGGTCGATTCCCTTCTGTATCTGGCATCAGATTCTGCTTCGACCCAACTCAACCTTCCGGCAGTCGAGTGCCTTTATCGAAGGTTATCGTTCAAGGCCAACCACTGCAGTTAGGCCGGAAGTACCGTTTATGTGTTAAAGCATATATGGCACATGGTAAAGACGGGTACAGTGTCCTCAAAGAGTGTCCGGTTATTGTGGATGAGGAGAATGGAACGTGTCTCAGTACGCTGGTGCAGAACTACTTCCGCGCTATCCTGGTATGTGAAGAACCATTGGCATGCCATCTCTATACTACGCTTGTCGGTATTTTCATTTTGAATGTGGTTATTTAAATTGGTTGATTGAAACTGAGTACTTCCTCAAAGGGAAAGTAACCTGCTGCAAGGTTGATCACAATTTTACGGGCTGTTTGTGCTTCGCAGATCTAGTAGTGTTCATATCTTTGTCGCTTTGGTACACCACACTGGATCTTTCACGTGTCCAGCTAATCAAATCTTGTATAGAGTACCACATCAAGTTGGATAGTAGTCGGGGAAGGATTATAACCGGCAAACGCAAATCGTTCCTTTGAACCTTTCTGTCAAAGAATCAACGTTTCTATTCATATGAAACAGTAGAACTGTGGTTATAATACGAACAAAAAGCTAAGGCATGACAAGTCCCATAGGAATGTTTGCGTGAATTACGTACTTCCAAAAAAGAAGTTACACTAAAGTGAAATGCGCATCTGTGGACTCACCATGTTACCCAAGTTAACACACACGTATATTCGTTGACCTCGTTTTCGTGGGACTCGGTGAGCATAATGTTACTTCAAGTCATGTCGTCACACAATGGACGGTGTAATGCACCGTCGAGTCAAATTTTAAAACTGATAGCGTAGGCGCATAAATGACTAAATATCGACAAATTCGAGGGAGAAAGTAGTTCCGGCGGCATTCCGGCTGACTGTATCGAGTGGATAGTTGCAGCTCGGGACGCTTCAATTAGTTTTGCAGCTGAGTTTATGGAGGTCTCGGCAAGTGTGGCCGCGGTTTTTCAATATCTGGTAGACTGGAGTTGGGTCGCCTCGTAGACGGCGATAACTTCCGCTGTACACCCTAGGGCTTTCTGCCGCAGAGGTTCTGACAATTGAAATAACCCTTGAAAACTTTGCTTGAACCGTTGTGCGGTCACCAGTGCAACCAGATCGCGTGTTAACCAGAGTTGTTGTTAAATCTTTTCATCTGCTGCGATTTCCAAAACTACACTTAATGTATTCCGAGCGACCTCAAACCCAAACAAAGAAAAAGTCAAAACTACCTTGTCCAAAAATAACATTAACTGCAATCGAATTGGAGCTGTCAAAGACGGCGGACCATGGTCAAATGTGTAGGTCGCCTCATGACCTTCGACTTCTAGAATCAGGAGGTCAGCCGCAAAGGTTAGTTGTTACACATATCTTTGGCCGATCTTCAGGCAGCTGGTAGTTACGTGCAGACCTCATAATATTCCTAAACTTTCGAAATTGATGCGATAATTGGTAGCCATCAGTCACATTCTAAAATAGTGGATTTTCCGGGGAATTCTTACCTTCTGCCGGACAGTTGCCACGACTAGTTTGCGTGCACTTTGTGGAGCCTCACATACGCATTAAGAATATGGGGGAAGATTAAGGATTGTAACGGTCCGAACAGACTTCGTAAAGGACCAACATGTTGGTTCTCCGACGCCTACAAAAACTGTGCCGAATAACCAAAGTCGTCTTGCATCACCACCAAAAATGGTACTCCTGTGAAGCGGTTTTCAACATGTGGTCTCTAAGCTTATTTGCGTAAGTGGACTTGTAGCCTACATGTATAGTTTTGCATTTTTCCCCTGTAAACAGAACTATGTCCTAGACCATTCAGAGGCACGGCCTAAGTCTCCTTGGAGCATATCGTGATCTTTCAGACAACCTATCGTCCGCCATATCTTGATGTCATCAGAAAAACCGGGAAACTTGGCTCAATGACATGCACGCGTTCATTGATGTAGACCAAGAATATGCGCGGCCGTAACATTCATCCCAGTAGGAACACCGAAGTTCACATTAATAAGACGCGAATATGATCCCCGAACATGAACCTGAAGCCAAAGCTGAAGGAGGAAATTTTCGCTTCATCCAAGAACAGGGTCACTAATTCCGTTAGTTTGCAGCTTTCTGAGAAGGATGCGGTGATCCAGTCGGTCCGAAAACTTAAAATAAATGTCAAGATAAATGAACTAGACACAGTATCAGATATCGGCTATTTTGTTCCAAACGCCACGAATAATCAGTACAATGGTAGTGCATGGCCGAAGTTGACAGAATTCATATTACTCAAGTACTATGATGTTAAAGATTTTGGGGTATCCATTAGTTACTCAGCTAAGATTTATTCTATCACCTTTGAGAGCACAGGAAAGAGAATTACTGGAAGGAGAGTTGGTGGGCTCCGAAAGACTACCACCCATGATAACCAGGATCATGATACTCTGCTTCCACCTGCTATTCATCCAGAGATCTTTATGAAACACGAGTTACTGGCTAAGCTGACAAATGCAACGGTTTCGGAAGAATATTATCAAAAGCAAGGAAACTGTGAGCGCGCAACAACAGTAACTTCCTCAAAACGGTCGCTGAATTAAAAATGACATATTTAAATACTGGTGTCTGGGGAAATGGGACAGATATATAACACTTACTTAGGGCCCATCGAAATATTGGGGCCTGTTCGAGTCATACAATGTAGACCGCATCCTCGGCGGTTTCAGCACAAGCAGTTACTGAGGTAATTAGCGAAACACCACTCTTCACATTCCGGAGGCGGTTTACATGTTTGTACAGTAGCTTGTTGTTAGCACAAACCCTTTCCGCTAGGCTTTGCTGCTGTAATAAGTTGTCCACAAGGGCAAGTGTGGTACATTGACTACGACGCACTAAACAGTTTCTCCATCTGTCAGGGCTAGGATTCGCCCTATACACATGTCACGCTGCGTCCTTTAACACCATACGTTTTCGGGTTCTGCTCCTAATAATTGCTAGTGCTGTCGCAGAAAACGAGGCCTGTTTATAGATGTGGATTTGAACAAAGCACTAAACTTGCCAGAAAATTCCGTCCGTGTAGTATCAGTGGAATAGTCGTCTAAAAACTCCCAGGAAAGCGCCCAAATGACATCATCAACAAGTTATGTTAGTATATCATAGTGTGTGCTTGTTCGAAGCAAGACACAATGTTCTTGTGTATATTCCGCATAACCACATAGTCATAAAGTGTTGTTTGTGATCACTCCACCCCAGAGGGCGGAAAAGCTCGTTGTTGCGAGCGCGTGCTGGATAAGCCATCCACAAATCGTTCTATTTGCACCATCTCGTAACTGTCATATGGTGTTCTATAGTGAAATAACCTACTCAGCCTTCGAGATAAGCCATCAACTTGCTGAGGCAGGCACTGCTGACGTAACTAAAGCTATACGCCCTCCTCCCTGTAACCCAAGGGGAATAATTAGTGTAATTCACAGCTGTTTCTTTTGACAAATTCATTAGTGTGGTGCCACTAAATTACCTGCGACAAGAGAAACCGGAACAGTCTTTGCCATTGGTTTGTCATGACGCTACACTCGCTTAGTGACCATTGGACGAAGTTATGTGCCTGCTTCTGATGTGCTAGTTTGTCTTGGATGAATGGCTTAACTGTTGAAACCTCTGTTACGTGCTCACATTGTTCACGTATTCGTTTGCTTGCCGAGTTACCATTCCGCTTTCATCGACACAAAAAATTGGCGTCGCGCGTTGCCGCTGTCTCTACACGACACCGCCTCTACTCAATTCAGGGCGAAGCTTGCAAGTAGTTCATAACGTTGTTAGTATTAGAGCACTACATTTTTCCGTTCCTCCGATCCTCAATACGACTGTGATGTTAAAACCAGAAGAGAGTTTGATGCACTTGCGGTTGCATCACGGTTCCGAATGTCGGCGTATATTAAACTCTCTGATTCTTCGCGAGAAGTTCAAACTTCCTCGCTGTCGATAAGCAGGAGGAAGTGCATATGAAAACCTAAACTGCCCGGCATTAATCCACCCAGATGAAGCAAACGCAGTGACTATTTGAACAGCTTCATATTCCCTCTTGTCTGTTCTACGCGAAAGTGTGACCATGACATTGTTCTCAAGATGCTCGGCGGAAACGTACGGATGTGGCATTTGATCGCTGGTTTGTCCGACCCTAGGATCAATAGCAGCAATGTGATGGAGGATGCCGGCAAGTTCTCATGGGATTAAGCCTGTGATATCGTTCGTGTGTAAGTCAAAATTAGCGAACAATGTAAAACTGCTATTCCACAGTCTAGTCAACTGAAATCGACCGTTTCACTTCTTCAACATGTTATACGAGATTTCTACTTGGGGGCAACTGCTGCCGCTGGGGGAAAGCTGAACAGCATGCAAACATGCAAGTGTGTGCCCCAGCAGGGATGTAATTTTCCGGAACTGTTTAAGTCCAGAGCTTTTGCCAAAGTCTATCTTTCCCGCACCATCTCACTTGCTGACTCCTATCCAAGTGGTTGTTTGGCCTTCTGGCTAAGGTCAAGCCGCAAATCGCAGGTATTTGTGAGGAAAACCTCTCAATTGCTTGTTCTTTTAATAAGCCAAAATTGCCCTCCAGAGATATGCGCATTGTTTTTGAAGTACATGGCAAAAAGTTCGTTTATGTATGAAACTAGATTTTGCATCATCCATTACAGTAGTTCCATACAGCTTTAGAATCTGTTATTCTGTCGTCGACCTGTGCATCAGCCAGCGTCGACTTTCGACGGGTATATTGTTCCCACGGATGATACTCGTACTTTTAGTAGCAACATACTGAGCATGGGAAGGATCTCCAAAACCTACCGTTTAGATTGTACGAACTCAAGCTTCGCTTGCATATTATAAAGTGCCAGTTCTCCTGGTTTGTAATTTCTACTCGTGGTATTGGACCAAATAGCTAGAACACGAAAACTCTTCTTGACTGCCCCAAACCATGCAACAAAGCAGAACTGAATCAATTCTTGACTCTGTATTTTTACTATCTCTGATATTGGTCCAAATTTGATACCATCACTGTCTCCCTACTGAAATTGATACGTCAAAAAGAATAATCCCACTGAACCATTAAACTAGAAGTTCGAAGAAAGTAGAAGCCACGATTAAAATTCACGCACAATAATATGCCTCGACGGGGAGTCGAACCTCGGTCCACGAATTTCCGGTCCGTTGCTCTACCACCTGAGCTACCGAGGGCTACCGAGGTTCGACTCCCCGTCGAGGCATATTATTGTGCGTGAATTTTAA